CTCATTTATGTCACTGTTTATTTATATATGAAGCGCGGAGTTTAACTTCACTAGACTCAAATTATAAGTCGACTTACTGAATGGAGCCGCCAACGCTTGCTTATATACTTTCTGCAAGATCTTCCAGAATATTCCAAATCTGTCGTGAAGGTTCTACGTGTCTAGTGCGATCATATGGCGCGATGGAGAAGAGATAGTGTTTTCTCGCATGTTTTTGTTTATTTAGGCCAAATGTCTGGATTAAATTAATTATAAAGCTTTTACAATATTTCGCGGCGCCCTTGTAAAGAGGCTAGTTTGGAAATCACTGGCTTAATCTCGTCTTCATAATTATAAATATTAAAGTCATAGTAGCTATATAATGTTATACATTTTTAGTATCTATAAAAGCAAAATTTATTTTTTTAAATTTTAAAATGTAATATGTTTTTATAGATATTTTGATTTTGTTTTGGTTGTTAGAATTAACCATTCGCACTATCTGCTAAGAAGCGGCCTTTTCGAACACCTATATCTCTGCCCGTAGCTATGTCTGATTCAGGCGTGTCCGCAACTCCGGTAAATAAATTTTAAAGCTGATAGGGTAATGTATCTATAGTCACCGGCTTCTTCAACAGAGGAAGAACAGGAATTCAAACTCAGGGCCAAGTATCCTCTTAATAGACAAGGAATTGGATCACTCATTCTTCAAAAACGGCTTAATAAAGGGGTATTCATTCATGCATTACTATGTACTCTTAATTTATTATTAACTTCATTTTATGTTTCAAAATTATTGCAATTTTCAACTATTTTAATTTTGTAATTGTTTATCATTGATTGTGTCTCCGTTTTTATTTAATGAACTTTGAGCCTCACTTTTTGATTTATATTTACACTTACTTGACAGACCGCAGCTTTAATTTTGGTTTATTTTTAGCATAAATATTTTGATTCCGGCGACTATAACATGGCCAAAGCGAAGATTTTAGCACACAAGGCCTGTGTATTGCCTGCCCAGACCGAGGAAGCTATTTTACATGAATCTACTGGTGAAACAATGGCAACTCCTGACAGTGTTCCCGCCGTTAGAAAGAAATCTTTATTCCCCTCCACAGGAGAAGCGGTACCTCCGGCGGCTACAACGCAAATGTGAATATGATTATTTACTTGCCAGATTACGCATTTCCCAGAGCCTTGGTCGGGTGCTTATTCGCCTAAGTAATGTAAATTAATAAATAGCAAAGCAC